TATTGGGCTCCATGTCGGATTTTCTCCTCCAGATAAATCCCCAACACTTTTAGACTGTTATAAAGAGTAAAATGGAGAATATGGTATGAAGTTCGAGCTGTAACAAAGCAATTTATAATTCTCTGCGATCTTACGGAGCGAAACTTGATTATATTTTCTATTTCTTTTGTACTAGTAAAGCATGAGTAAATTACCAAAAAAAAGCATGATTAACAAACGTTAAAGCATATTGCAGCTTGGTTAAACTTAAAAATGTTATCTTTTCAAATAAGAAATTAAAGAAGAGGAAAAAAGAACTCATATAAATGAGCCCAAATAAATCAATGAAATCTTATCATTGTGCTAAATTAATCATTCTAAGCCCTTTCCTCCTTTTTATTTATCTTCTTTATATAAAAAAAGAGTACAATAGGTACAAAATTAATAATTAATTAAAAAAGCGAGTATAAAGAATTAATAATAATGAATTATTAAGGGCGGAAATGGAAGAATTAGTTAGATTCGTAGTGAAGCATGCACCCAGAATTCCGTGTGAACGGCAATTTTCAGTAATCATTGACCGGCGTGACCTCTTCGCGGTGATATCCTCCAACCAATTCCCTGGTCCAACATTGAAGATTCTGCGACAGTTAGAATCTGAAAGATCCTGCTGTCTTTCCCAAAAGGTCACCATCAAGCTACCCCTTCCGCACATTCTAGGGCTACTATATATTCTAAGGCTGCTAACAAAATCAGTGATGGCTAACAATTTTTTTAGTCCATTACGAATCTAGTGTCCGAAATCAACTAATCCAAATTCGAGTCAAGAAGTTCTCTTTCAGAAGACAAACAATTTAATTGTGCAACACAACCATGATGGGTAGAGATGCGAGTCGCCTAAATAAAGCATGCACTTTTTTTTTTGTTACATGATTATAAAAAGATTGTTCTAACTAAGTGAATACATATTGCGGATAAATCGGTATCCATTCGACTGCAAATGTATTCTCTCTATTGATCACCGAAAAGAAAATGTACTATCTCATTTTCGAATTTGAATTTTTGATTTTATTAGTATAAATTGTATCAAAAGTAAAAATCTAAACTGAACAAATAATTATTTTCAGTTTCAGGAACAATTATTTCTAATTTTAATAACAATAGGTACGGTAACATATATTTTGATCACATGCGAGATTTTTTTTTCCCCTCCCAAAGAAAGTACTTAAGAGTTACGCATCTATTCAAACATTTTGAATAAGTTATAAACAAAGCTTGAAAACCTTTTCTCATTTACAATCTAATGGCCTATGGTTTTCCTTTCAATTAGTGGGGTCCGGGAATCAATGAGTCTCCCGCACTCGAGGAACCAACCACAGTTACATATAAAAAGTGTTTCTTTTTGTTGATCAAGTCAACAACTTTCTCCATTACTACTCCATATACTGAAAAAAAGAGCCCGGCCCCTCAGAAGGGCTCTGCGGTTGCAGCGTGGCGGCGGAATTAATATGGAGAGAGAACTGAAATCAAGGTACAGTAGTCGGTGAGGGCTACAAATTAACATATATACATATAAATTAAATTAAATAACAAATCTTTGTTTGCATGGTACGTTAGGTAGTACGTAGCTTCTTTTCTTTTTTGTTTACTGCATTCTTTATTTGATATCATTGGAGCAACTTTGTTGAAACTGTTGAACAGTGGAATCTTTGTTTATTTTGCGACAATAGCAAGTGCTGCTGGGGACCCGAATCGGTGGGTGGCTCCGTGGTGGGTTTTGACTCTTTACTCACGGGTGGAGATTCCCAATCTTCCGCGGTAGTGAAATTTTAGGTTTTGGTTTGGTTTATGGCAGGTGAGTATGGGTAATCGTGCTTGAGCAATGACCCCTGATACCATTTTTTTTAACTGTATGTATGTCTTGTTTATCGTTGTTGATTCATAGCCATATTGATATCAGTTATTCCCAAATGAATGATCATCTCAGCTGCAACTGGTTTCAAGTGGATGAAGATGAATCTCCGTAAAGTTCCTGAACATAATGGAAACCTATGAGAGGTTTGATTTATTTAGGTTAGGCTCGTGGTACTCAGTAAAATGGCACTTTAGTTCTGAAATTAATATTGGTGACATGATTTTTTCTTTTAATCAGCATGCGTGCATGGATGCATTTAGGGCTTAAAAAATTTTGGACATTGACTGAACCAGGACCAGGTCATAAAAGATGAAAACGTCCGTCGGAAGGGAACCAGCGGGATGCTGTCAAGACGACAAACCAATGCCACAGCCATAGAGATTAGATCTACGTACGATCTATGCTGATGACTCCTTCCAAGACCAACCAAAACCCTCAGCTCTTTGACGAAGTACTCTACGTAGATTGTACTTACCACGGATATGTGTATTATTACTACAGTGTTATTCCTAGCTTAACGATAAAATTAAATTAATAAATAAGAACAACAACAAAAAGGTTTAAAAAGAAAAAAAATTAAACTTAGTACATATCTCCCCAATTTTATTGAGAAATTCAAGAACAAAGAAGAAGATATATACATATCTCACAACATGATCTATAAGAATGATATATGTCCTTGAACCATGCATATCCAAAGTAAAGATATAAGATTTGAACAAGATGTTTAGTTTCTATCTATTCTATTATATGGCATTGTAGGTTGATCCAATCCGTTTAGAACTTTTTTAGTGTGTTTGGCGTAGACTAGTGGGGAATGGCGCGTGGAGATCTATATATATAAATATATATATATATATATATATATATGTATATGCATTGTATTCCTAGTTAAACCAGCGATATGACATTGGCTTCTCTGTATGCATATATGTTGATATGTGAAAGGAGAACAGTCAAGTTGGTGAGAACATATATCTAAGTCTGATTCAATTTCGACTGAGGATATATGTAAGTTTTTTTTTGACCAGGATCTGATCGTTTTAGTTCATTTCCTCAGTTTCCAATTCATATGTTGTAAAGTTTTTCCTAAAGTGTTAAGCGAAGGCAACTGAATTTTTTTACTGTGTGCAGTGAAAATAGTTCTATTTCTCGTGTCTTGTAAAAATAGTATACATTGTAAATTATAAATTATATTAAAAATAAAATAATTTGAAATTTATACAGTGATGTGAATACTATTTTTATGGGATGGAGAGAGTTATAGAATTTCCAAATATTGACAAACTTAATTAACAAGTGTATATCGGCTGCGCCCCAAAAAATAATTAGGTGGAAATACGTTTCTTACCGGAATGATTTGGCCGGATTAAAGCAAATGTAAGAGCTCTTATGATCGAAATTCTTCCAGAACTACTTTACAAAAATCTTACTAGTATATTGTATTCTTAGAATTTTATTTTGAGACATATGGGAACAATACTATTAAGTGTCTACAGAACCGAGAAAGGCTTGATGCTGAACTACAAATTTTGGCAATAGACCACCACCAGTATCTTGAATTCCAAAAAGTTCCTTTCGCTCCAATGTACCAGTCCCGTACAGAAATATATTCCGGGAGATTTCAACTTTTATGGACGGCAACAATGCCACTCAAATTGAATAATCCAGAATCTATAGCTAGTTGAGCTAAAATATAATGTCAAGTTGACATTTTTTTATATTATTTTTTATGTACACTGTATATTAACATTTGCAAGCTAAAAAATAGATGTATTGGTTTATATACTCTGCGTTCATACTGTTCGTAAAATTCTACCAACTGATGAATCCTCCACGGCCGCGCACCACACACCACACACACACACACACACACACACAAACACACACACAACCAAGAAACTGGTACTAGCTCTTATGGGGTAGCCTACTATTACTATTTAGGAGTGAACAATGTGACAGGTAGCCAGAGTTTATAGTTTACAGAGATAAAGGGGAAAGTTTCTAGTTGTAAAGCGTATTCTCTCAAAAGCAGAGAGAAAGAGTACGTACATATAATAGTAGTATATAAGTTGTCTCAACCAGCGGTTGTGATTACACTGGCACAATTTGCAATTTTGCCTTTTTACATTTAAGAAATTAATAAAACCCTAGATATCAACTTGTTGTTACAACTTACGAGCTCACATGGCCACATGCGCGCGTAAAAATTTACGAGACTGTTGTTGCAATCAAAACTTTTTTCATACTCCTTTTTCTTTTCTCCTTTTGTCTTTTATTTTTGTTTTTATATGTTATATGCACATAGTGTCCGAAATCATACGCTATATGAATGGTTTTTTAAGAGAATATTAGTTTCAAAAGTTAATCTTTTGTAGCCGATAGACCTTATTTCATGCATTTTAGATTGTACATTCATCAATTTCTTTTCTCAAATTTTCAATTTACGCTCTTATGATCAGAAACTATCTAAAGCCACATTGAAACTAGTTGGGGTACAAAGAAAATGCCAAAAATATATAGCACTCTTTGGAACTCCGGAAGTATGTAGTTTGGAGAGGAAGGCAAAATGCTTTGTCCAATTTTGGCATTGATTTAAGTGTATAAGCAATCAGCCTCCATCAAAGTTCACCTCAAAGAAGTTGATAAAGGTTTACGCAACTGACCATAGGCAAATTTAAACTCAAGTAAAATGGTATGAGGTAGACCAGAAAGCCGGACGGCCAATGTTACTTCTGAAATGTTTGGTGTCGTCCTAGCCAGCTAGCCTAGAAATTCAAAAAATAAATAAATAAATAAAAAAATCGAACAGCCAAAGGGGAAAAATAAAATAGAATTTCAAAAAAAGGTAATGAATAGAACTGCATTGTGGTAATCAGTAATGTATGTGATACAGATTTTGAGCAAAATACAGGAAGAAGTTGGTTCCTAAATTATTAGTTTTTTTTTTTTTTAAATTTTCTTTTTTTAAAGAAAGAAATCTGAAAGGCCAGTTGATACTCCGACCAGGAGTGACTACAGCTGAAAACTCACGTCATGCTTCTAGTGCTTTCTATAAATACCTAGTGAATTCTAGGGCTTTAAGCACGCTCTCAACGAAGCACAAACAAATTTGAGATATCAATACTGCAATTGAATCTCAAAGATCTCTACCCTTTGTGCTTCATAATATTGTTGATAATAATCCATTTATATAAAATGGCGCGAGTAACTATGATTCTGGCAACCCTTTTGATCGTAATTACAGTAATCTCCCAAAACATTCAGTTTATTGAGGGAAGAAATTTATCCCTCAAGAGCAAAACCAATGCTATGATGACTACTAGCTCTCGTGGCATGGGGAAAACCGACATTAATCCCATGGAGGACGGAGTTTTTGCGGGGACGGAACCAATGTCGACTCCGTCAGCCGCCGCTGCCGTTGCAACACTGGCTCCGCCGCCGCAACCACCAGCGGGTTCATCTGGTCATGCAGATAACTTTCGGCCCACGGCACCGGGTCACAGCCCAGGAATCGGGAACGCCATTCAGAACTAAAAGCTTTAATTTGGCCGGGCACAGCATGCAGCTGGCATGTTTCGTCATAGTGTCGCATAATGACGACATCCTGTGTTCATCATTTTATTTTATTCTCAAATGTGCATTAGTAAATTATCTAAGCCGTAAAATGTCTAAGCTGTCTGTAAGAAAAAAAAGAAAAAAGAAAATGCATGTCTCGTGTGTATCATTTTTTTTTTTCAGGATTTCTGCAATGTAATTTACTTTTTATTTTTCTTTAGTACGTTCCATATGTGGAGAGTTATTCATCTCTTTGTACAATTTGTTGCCCGTTTGAACAAAGAGGGACATATTCCCGATGGATGTACAAATATTTTCTCTAATAACTTTGTGGACTGGAGTGTATCACCCAAGAGGACAAGTGAATGAAAATATTGATGCACGAAATTTTCCCGTATTAGTTATGGGATCGTATAGTATTGCTTGAGTTAGATAACTTTTAATAAGTTCACAGTTGACCAATTGATTTAGATTTCTGTATAATATTATGAACTATCAAAATAAGACGAGAAGAGTAATATTAACTTTTGAAGCGTAAGTTTTAAGATCATTTATGTATGTATTAGCTAGGAAAACAATGGAATGGATCGATAATACACTGTTCAGTTCTCGGACTAATTTACATGTGCTAATGAATATTAGCAAGTTATTATTCTGGAATGATATTCTTCAGAAACCTATAATATCAAAAAATAAAAACTTTGTTTATGTGTGTATTTATATTTCCATGAGGATCATGCATAGATTTTTGTATTATTTACAATTCATAAGATGCTATGATTTGCTTTGATACCTTAATTAATTTCAACTAGGTATATAGCTTCTCCCACACCATGACTACATAATGTTAAAAGGAAACATCTATTGTTATTTTTTTTTTTTGGTGAATATTCATGACTATTTCTTTTATTTTATTTCAACTTGAAACAATAGAACAAACTTTCAAATTTAATTTTATGTTTGATATTTCGATTTTAGGCTTGTGAAACGCCTTTCTTGTGTGTGTGTGTATATATACGTGTGTGTGTGTGTGTGTGTGTGTGTGTGTGTGTGTGTGTGTGTGTGTGTGTGTGTGTGTGTGTGTGTGTGTGTGTGTGTTTGTGTGAGATACGAACAAATGCATTTTGATCAAAGTTTTGGTATGTATCAGGATTTTGGCTGAGAAAAAGTTGTGCATGTTTGTACCACTTTGGATGCAATAGTTAGGTAATGGAATGCTTCCTGCCATGTGCGCGGCCGCAAATTTCAAGCTTTGCCAGTAAATACGATTTTTATTTTCAGATGGAGAAAGTGATTAATTTTTATAAAATTCGAAATTTATTTCATTTTGAGATATTGCAATAGATAGATATTAGATGGATCGTTTTTTTTTTTGTTTTTTTTTTGTATTACAATTTAACAAAATAAACTACTGAAATAGAATAAAGTCAGTTCATATTTCATAATATCTTTATCTTTATTTATGCCTTTTAAGTTGTGGAATAAAATTCGACATAATCAAAATCATGCATTATTAAGTTAGGTTAAAATATGTATAGAGAAAGACGTACATCATTAAAGTCATTAGGTGGGGGGAAAATGAGATTGCCTAGAGTATAAAGAATATACTGCATTTTGTTCCTTGGGTTGCATATTGCATTGGAGGGAGTGTCGAGGCTTGAATGCAAGCGTGAAGAATTTTTTATTTTGCTGCAGCAACAAAGTTGGCCGTCTTACGTTAAAAACATTAGTTCATAGAGTCGTTGATTTAATATTCAAGGAGGAGACAACTGATCACATGAGAACAAGTTCTTATATCGTCGTCGCTAGTTTTATTAATTAGTTTTTTTTTTTTTTTCCTTTGTACATGTTTTCTTTTAAAATGATGAAAAAGGTCGAAATTTAAGACCCTAACAAAGATAAAACAAAATCAAAGCTTGACTATAATTCGTAGTCGCATGCAGAGGGATAAAGTTAAATTTAAAGATAAGAAGTATCAAAGATGCCAAAATTAGTACATTTTGCTAGGTTAACTGATCAGATCAAAGGTCTCCTCCAATCAAGAAAGTAAATAAAAGATACAGAACTTACAAGTCTAAACTTCTTATTGTGTTTATTATTCGATTAACTGCACAAACCACACTAGTCTGCTCTTTCTTTCTTAATTTTTTTTTTCCCTTTTTCCGGTTTCAAGTGCCCCGGAAAACCAAAAATAGTACAGCTGAAATTACATAAATTTAGATTAATTGTAGGTTGAGTTCTTATTTCGTCTCTATCTTTCATCATCAATCATTGTTGAACGATTTTCAGTAAAGTAATATAGTTTTATTTAAAAAAAAAAAGAAGATTAATCCTAGTAAAGCATACCACATAAATTCAGTCATCATTACGATTTACGTCGTACCGTTCAAGTCCAACGGAGGAAGTTGAAATGAAGGTATATTCTCGGACAATCAGGACCCGAAAAAGTTCCCATCGAGCTATCTTTTCCGCACATTCTATGATCTATCTCAATTGGCCTACTAATATTAGGCTGCTAGTATACTACACCTATAACTGACCATCTTTTCAAATTCACACTAGAATTCACTCGGATCGGTCCCATTTTATCAAAATTACAATGGATCACTGTTAATCACCGTATTGTAAATACATACACATACCTCAATCGCATTAATCTACATGTTCTATCCAAATGTACCCGATGTATCTGTTTCAAACTTATGGTACTTTAACTACTCTGTTAAAGTGTAATATTTGTCCTACATCGTCACCGTGAAGAGAAAATGACTCAGTATATAAGTAGTTTATTATCTGTCTCACATTGCCACCATGAAGAGAAGTGACTCAGTTTATAAATGCCAAATGCCACCTTACTCATTGCCAATTAGTTTCGAAATGGTATCAGAGCGGTTTGGACCTGTGGTGGAGTTCTGGATTGAAGGTGGGTTATGGTGATTTTATATTAACCCACTTAAGCGTTGACTCTTGACTCGTGGGCTTGTTGTGAACCGATCCAGCGGTATAACTAGCTTTCTCCCACTTAAGCGTTGACTCGTGAGTTATTCTATTCTTATCCTGATCCAAGTTTATTGGGCAAAAAGTTCAAAGACCCATTGAACTTGAAGGAAGGTGTTAAAGTGTAATATTTGTCTCACGTCGCCACCTTGAAGAGAAATTACTCAGTATATAAATGGTGTATTATTTGTCCCACATCGCCACCGTGAAGAGAAATGACTCAGTATATAAGTAGTGTATTATTTGTCCCACATCGCCACCGTAAAGAGAAGTGACTCAGTTTATAAATACCAAACACTACCCCACTCATTGTTAATTAATTTTAAAATGGAAGTCCAAAGTACTTATATGTTTTGACATATTTTTTTTATTTATTATGCGGTATCCCACAAATGACCATAAAAACTAAGCCAAAACTCGGCCAACGTATGACCGACGACACCGCACTCGCCCGTCAATATTTTTTCATCACGTGAGAGAAAATTATGCGTTTGCGTAATCTACAAAAATATTTCATATTATATTTATGAATTATAATTGAAAAATATTACAATTCATAAATAATATTATATATTATTTTTCTTGGACGTGATGAGTATTTTATATGGAAGAAATTAGCGTTTTGGTGCCATAAATATGATCAATAATGCAACATGACTATTATTTTAGAACCAACGGAATAGGGAATAGGACGTTGTCATTCCCGTTCAATGAGAATGCTGTTTTCCAAAATTTAGGCTCAATTTATTCCCGGAGTCATCATATTCAAAAATTAATAATCTTCAAATACTAACCTGGCACCAAAATTAGTAAGAATCAATGTCCTTGACTTTTTTTTTTCTTTTTTTTTCTTTTTTTGTGTGTGGTTCAGCTGTTCTTAACTTTTCTACAGAAAACGATATTAGTAGGCACGGGGGGAATCAAAAAGGGCTCCCGCGCTCGAGGAACCAACCACCGTTTTGTAAAAGAATATTTCTTTTTTTCGTTTCAAGTCAACAACTTTATGCCGAAAAAGAGAGCCTCGGCCTCTTTAGTTCAGGAAAGGGCTCACTGATTGCAGTATGGCGGCGGAATGGAGCGAAGAAACTACGAATGGAGGTAATCGGTGGATGGCTACCGAAAAAGATTACAATCTGGCACGGTACGGCTATTTCATTTGTTAACTTCATTCTTAATATATTTGATTATTATGGGGGATACTTTGTTGAAAATATGAACGTTTAAAATCTTTAGTTATATTCCGACAAGATCAAGTGCTGGGGACCCGGACCGGTGGATGGTTGTGGTGGATTTGACTTTTTCTCAGGCAGGAGGAAGCCCAGAAGGGTTTTGCCTTTTGGTTTCTATTGGTGGATGGCAGGTGAAGGAGACGAAGAGAGGCCTCTGAGACCATTCTTTTTCTTTAATTAGTATTTTATTTTTCCGGGGTTTCCAGGAAACCGAAGTTGTTCCCGTCTCAAGTCATTGGAGAAAAAAGAACAAAACAAAAAACAAAAAACAAACTAACAAACTGAAAAGCTAAGAACATCAAGGATGACATGAAGCAATATCCTGGAGCAACAAAATGACCGGCGGGCGGGGTTGCGTCGAAATTCTTAAACAGCCCAGATGACAGAATCATCAATCCTCAGGATTGAGCTGAAGTTATGAATCTAGTAAGTTGGAGAATGAAACAGTCCTTCCTGAAAACAGTCTGGAGTTTCCCTAAAGCTGGCTATATTAGAAGAAACTCTGCATCACTACCTATTTCTGTCAATTGTGTGGCTATCTTGAACTAACTACAAGTCAGAGTCAGTCTCTCAAAGGTAGTATGTTTTACAGAGTAACTTAGAAGAACAGTTCATGGGCATCACATATACACTTGTCTCAATGGTGGTGTATGGAACTCTTGTTTGAGGACTCTTTTGACACTGAATGAGTTAGATGATATTTCATATGGAATGAAGAGCAACTTTCATGCACAGGCGAAAAAAAAGAATCTACGGATAGCTTATCAAGTAAAAGAACTCTAGCAATACTTAGGATTCCACTCAAGGGATTAAGTGCTTGAATCTCGATTAACTATCTATTTACTGGAGTTACCACAAGTCATATCGCAGAAGCAAGTGCAGATTCTGAGTAATATCAGAGGATAGCTATTCTAATATTTGAATTACAAGTTACACTGTATATATAGAGTACAATTGTAACTACCACGTGATCTAATCTAGATACAAGTAGTTATGATATTATACTAATCTTAACAAACCAAGATAAGCATCACTTTCAAATATTAGAATAGCTATCCTCCGATAAGTAAAAACACAGACCATTGACTAAATAGCATATCCAATGCAACCGCAATAACACAAACATTCAAGTTCACAATGACCATAGCGGGGATAATGTCAGCAATACCAAGATATGTCATGCATTCATTAGGCAAGTCTTCCACAATCTGAAAAAAGTGAACAGGTCAACAGAGAATAAATTTTCCTAGTTTTGATGAAGACCATGCCCATGACAGGAAGAAGCAATAGCATACTCCAAAGTAGCCAAATATTCCTAGCATGGCAAGCTAATGGATCTACAAAAGGAACCATTAGAATATTAATATCACATGCGCGTACAGATCATGCAAAGATTTGGAGGGCCAACATGATGCACAAATAAACACATGGAGCACATCAAATCTTCACTCTTAGACATACATTTTTGGTCAAATAACGGCTGGTTATCCCAAACCATTCATTAACAGACAAAGGTTCTTACTTTTACTTTACTGGCAGTTTTTCTACTAATAGGAAATTATATCTTGAAAAAGTCACATATCAATGAAGGAAGTGGTGCCTCACTGCTACTACTTTAAAATAGAATATCATCTGATTCCAACAGAACATATTTCTGTTCAGATTCTTTTTCTTTTTCTTTCTTAACCTTTCTGAGATAGGTGTGGTGGTATACAGAAAACAAACTGAAATAAAAGATTTGTAAATTATGCACTCTTCACAATTGGTCAAGGAGCAAACATGATTGCAGTCAACAGTTTCAATTTCCAGTTCTTTGGATTAAAAAAAGAGCAATCTTTAGATGCAATCGAGGAAAGACTATTCGTGAATAACAGTGAACAATATAGACTTAAGTCAAATAGATCACCCAGAAAGTAAGTATACTTCGGTAGCAAGCCACATGGCTGGGCCAAGACAGATAAAACTATGATTCTAGTTAGCAATGATATGGCAAGCAATCTATTCCATGGCAGCACTGAAGATCAATTCTTTACATTGCTCTTTAACAGCAATGAGTGCAAACAAGATAATTTTTTCACTTAACATTTTATCAATTTCAGCAAGCCCCTACATGAGTTAACAATTGGTCTGGCACGATATGTAGGGGTTGTTATTAGAATCTAACAATCTTTAACACCCAGACTACTTAGCTATAACAAAAAAATATGGATAGTAGACCTGAAAGCTGGTGGAGGCCATATTGAGTTAAAAAAATAAAATAAATTTCAAGCAATGAATGATTGTCAGCAATGGTGCACATTCTGCAGTGATGTAAACTTTCAGCAGCTAAAGTGATAATTGGATTCAGTCAAAAGCTAAGAACATATGATAAACAAAACAAAATTAGACTAGAAGACAGTTGTGTGTCACTTGAATATATCTACTGAATAAAATTTGGGCACTGCAAGCATAGCATCCAATTAAAAGCTAGACATGATAAAGTGGGGAGTACAGAACAATCCAAGTATTTTCTCTTGTATCGGGACAGTGGAATGGCCTAGAGGACGCATATTGTTTAATTAATTATTATTCTAAAACAAGAATCCCAGGCCCTCTATAATCTGACTTGCATAATACTCTGTATTATTGATTTCATAATTCCAACCTTGGAACCAGTAAACAAAAAACTATCATTTGAGCACATTGAAAGGTCAAAACACATTTCAATACCAACCTACACGGAACATAATTCAACCAGGGATTACAATCAAAGTGACTTAGTATACATGGCGGGTATTGCATACATCCTTATTTCCAGACTCTGTACAGAGGTTACATTTTATAATCATGTAAAGGACAAGAAAAAGGAATGTTTAACAATAAAATATGCAAGGAAGGAGAGAACAGAGGTAGCATGCAGTATTTGAAAAGGATCATTGACAATGCCACTATGTGACACAAGCAAAGATCACCACCAGGTGAAGTTTGACGAAACCTGAACCATCCAAATTTCATGAAAAACATTTTTACATTTTGATTACTGAAAAAATTTCTACAGTCAAGATACTTCATAGTCAGCTTTTTTGGATTATAAATAGGGGAGCAGGTCCAAGCATTCTTCCCATTCTGCTCTGCAGCTAAAACACAAGTAACTTTCTTCTTCTTCGCTGCCTTTTCGTTTGCTGTCTTCTCCACATAGAGACACATACATACACAGAAAGCAGTTTCACTCAGAATACATAAATATTTTCCTCTGAGCCATGGCACGTGTCCTACAGATTTGCATTTGCAGTTTCCTGCTGGTAGTTATTGCTGGCAATGAATTTTTATTTGCAGAGGGAAGGCAAATCAAAACATTAAACAAGCAGAGCCTTGAGTCCTCTAAAGATGACAAAGGATTCATAAATCAAGGAAAGGAAGTTATAGGATCGAACCAAGCCTCTACAGGATACCAAGGTGACCTTCAAAAGACTCAGACTAATTATGATGTTCCAGAAACAAAAAGGGTTCTTCCCAAGATGTCATCAAATGTTCCAAAGTCAAGTACTGAATTTGGAAGTTCAATGGCAGAACATGTCAATGGTTTCCAACCAACAGCCCCAGGAAACAGCCCAGGAGTTGGACATTCACATGAAGGACGCAAACAGATGGAGCAAAATATACCAAGTGCAAAATCCAGCGAAGGCTATTTTCTGGAAGGAAGCACAGACGATTTCCGACCCACAGGACCAGGGCGCAGTCCAGGTGTTGGCCACTCTGTCCGAAACACAAAGGAAGAGCCAAAGTTTTAAACAATGTCGAAGCACATGAAATCTATAAATTGTATCTACTGTCTCCTTCGTGGCATGCAGTTCCCATAATGTGCTTATAAATAGTCCTGCAATTTGTTGCAGTTGTTCTTGTAAATAGCTACATTAGCTTGTGGCATATATAAGTTTTTATGCATGTTCAGTAAATAATGTCATAAGCAGCTATGTTAATGCTTAAAATAACAGTCACATGGTGTAGATCTTCCAAGGTTATTCTATCTTTATCAGTTTGTTCAATGCATGCAAAGCAAAGTTATTCTTCGATAGCCAATGCCAACACAAGGATACTATACAGATATTTCAAATGCAGACGGCCACTGAGTATAGAGTTCTCACTATGAAGGGTGGACACCTCAAACAGACAAGTTAATGTGGATATTCATATTCAAAGTATCTCAAAATCAACCTGGAACACAGTCAAAATTTGAACTTCATTGACATTAGTTTTTAAATTTTTAACTCTTGTTCAGAAGGTGGGGCCACGGGTGCACGAAACTGTACTAACTAGTAAGTAAATAAACATCAGATTTGATGTTGACAAATTTCTGTACTTTAATTTTCTTCTTAAAGGAAAAGATGGACCATTAGCTCCACCAAGTTCACTAGAAATGCAAAAAGAAGAATTATAAAGCTACAAATCTTTCTAGCATCCAATCCTAGCTAGCAGTAGTATAAATGATTCTTAGTACTTAGAATATAAAAAAACAGAACGGCTCATCATTAAAGTATCAGGAATCTGAAACCTTAAAATATTCGGGTAAAACGACATATTAGACTTGGGTCACTGTTCCACTAAGGATTTTATTAACAAGCCAACTGATTCCACAGAAGATTAACATATTCAGGGTACTGTCAGTTTCTCAAATCCAAGTTGAAATAGACATCATCAATCACATCTCCAAATCCTAGGTCAAAATAGAAGGTAGCAATCGAAAGAATCATTTGAAAAAGGTAAGATATAGTTCTTTAATCCCCTTCTATTTGTCGGCTATAGTTGAAAGGGGAGAGTCCCACTAAACTAAATAAAAGACAATAGAAACTGATTAAAGGGATTACTAACTGGACTTCACTAGTGAAAAGGTTTCCACAAGGAGCAAAATTACAAAATTATAAACCCTTTATCTCATGATTTAAACAATGTCAAGCAAAATCATAAAATGACAAAAAGAAATTGTCGCCATGGGAAATACCAATCATTGAAAAGTGAAAATGACTGGTGTATAAAGCTATAAAGGAACAAGAATCCATCAAATTTACCAAGCTGTTTGATTACTGAAATTAACGGTTTTAGCAACGGAGGATTGTATATCAAGGAGAGGATTACCGCATACCTTCAATGGAGGAGAAGAAATTCCGAGACCATGAATTGAACTGGAGTGGCCGGAAAATTTGGAATCACCGGTCGCCGCTCTGGATACAAAATAGTCACGGTGGGAATGTTCTATGACATGATGACATCATATTGAGCGTTTGGTGAAGTGGGCCGGGTTTTAGAGTACCTTTAATTTATTTTATTTTTAGCATTATGATCAAAACCCCAAACCTTTAAACTTCAAAAATGCGAACTTTTGTTTCGTTTTTTTAATTTATATTTTTAGGTGTTTTTTTATTGAAAATGTAAAAAGTGTATTAAAAATGTAAAAAAATATACTGGGATGAGACAATTAATAATAATTTAATTTGAAAACACAATCGAAACAAACAAAGCCTTAGTTTTGTAGTATGAAAATACAAAAACTTATTTACCTTATAAATATGAAATGTTGTTTAATTATATGATTAAAATTGTGCATGTGAGTATAATGTTTTAATTTTTGTACAATTGTCGCTGCGCCATTTGAGTTGTAGAGATTGCAAAACCAGGAAAATTTGCGAATTTTGTGAAAAGATCGGTTGAAGTTATTAAAGATTTTATATATAGAGTTTGTGTTGGAATATAATTTTTATGGAGTTTTTTCATTCACGAAATATGATAATTTAAAATTTTAGATTTTGGTAGTTTTTTAATCCAAAAAAAATAAAAATGAAACATTGTTATTACGGGTGTTAATTCGGTTGGTTCGGTCGGTTCGGTCATTATTCAGTTCGGTTGAATCGGATTTTTGAACCTTAAAAAACCGCCCAATAACCGAACCGATAGTAAGAAACCCGAACCGAACCGACTGAAAAACTGATCGGTTTAATCGGTCGGTTTGCCCTTAACCCAAACCAAATGCAACAAATAAATGATTTTTTCTTTTTTTTGAAACTAAACAGCATTCAAGCTTGAATTTAAACACCCTGAACAACAATACAACATGAAAGCTTTCAGCCCAAATAACTTAAAATTCCAATCCGACATTAACAAGATAAAAAAAACAGCCACAAATTTCAATATCACAAAACAAATCTGACATAAAGTTTTCATTCAGCAACAAGTAAAAGAAAAAAAATCAATAGCAAGGTCTTCTACTCTTCTTAATTGCCTTCCAGTTCCACATTACTCAGCAGTCAGCCCTTTTAAATTTGATATAAGCAACCATCACAAAACATCAACAAGCTTCATTTCTTCAAACTCTTAAGCCAACTTCCTGAAAGTGTTAATGATGAAAGAGTTATAAAGTAAACTAGTCGAGAATCAGAATACAGTGCAAATCAAATTATGTTAAATATCACAAATTAAATGAGAAAATCACCTTTTCACAGAAAGATCATGTGTCATGGCAAATCTGAATTTATGCCAATGTCCTTTGGAATGAAATCTGCAATTGATAAACAAAAAACCAAAGAAGTTATTATAAGTAACAAATAAAAGGAATACACGTTAACTTTAAATATTACTTTAAAATTTCTAAATTATTACCTTTTACCACTCCTTCAAGGTCTTCCCAAGTTTCTTCAACCTTTACCATCTCTGGCTTCTCTGTAGGATCCCGGAGCCAATCTTGAGCACAAATAAGTTCTTGAACTACCTTCGGAGTCAAAGAACTTCTAAAAGCATCTAAGACTCTTCCACTTGTACTAAGACAAGATTCAGAAGCCACTGTAGAGATTGGAATGGCTAAGAGATCACGAGCCATCAAAGATAAAATAGGAAATCTAGGACTATTAACCTTCCACCAATTCAAAATTTCAAACTTCCCATCATCTTCTTCAAGATATTCTTTCAAGTATTTATCTAACTCTGACTTTGAATTCATACCACCAGCCTCAATTTTCTTCTTCTTCAATTGCATTCTAAACTTTTCTGTTAACATCCTTGAAGCTTGTACATCAATGGGTGAATTCTTTTTTTCCAAAGAAGATTGAGATGACTTTGGAGGGGGAGAATGTGAACTACGCTCCAGGTTATATAACTTCACATAATCATCATACATGTCATGTAGTTCACTTTCAATCTGGCTCTTTCTTGACTTACCATCTATTTTACCATACACATCATTCAAAACAATTTCTAAATACTCAAGTTTGTTCCTAGGATCCAGCACACAAGCCACAAACAAAGCCAAGTTGCAAGTTTCAAGATTGCCAAAATACTTATCAAATTTATCCTTCATCATCTTTGCCATTAAGGAGATGCTAGGATCTTCAGATTCATTGATTAGTTTCCTTAAAAGAGCCTCAATGAAAGTCACAACCTCAAAGAAAAAATTTGAAGTTGCAGATTTAGTTTGAGAGACTTTCAAAGTAAACTCATAAAAAGGTTGAAGGATACCTGCAAATGTCTTGGCCTCATTCCAATCTATAGAAGTAGGTACCCCAGGCCCTGTTTCTTCTTCTTCTCCTTCCTCGTTGCGCCTAATAACCTTCGCAAGAGTCTCTTTATAATCTGGCTCTGCTGATTCATACCTCTTAAAAGCCCTTTCATAAGGTTGAGCTGTCTCCAACATTAAATAGGTGAAATTCCACCTTGTAGGCACATCCAATGCAAGATTCTTAGTGCTTGGACATTTTTCAATCTCAACAAATTTTTTGAACTTTTCAATTCTCTGTGAAGATTGCCTAATATACTTGACAGCAGCCTTGATTCTTTCAACAGACACATTGATGTGTTCCAAACCAGATTTAACTATTAAATTCATGGTATGAGCAATGCAGCGAACATGCAGCCATTTTCCTTGCAAAATACATTTTTTCCAATTTTAAAACTGTTCTTTCAAATATTCCATGGCTGAATTATTTGCACTAGCATTATCAACAGTGACAGTCAAAACATTATCAATTTCCCAATCAAGCAAACACATTTCAATTGCCTTCCCAATATTATCTCCCTTATGACTTGTTATTGGACAAAAATTCGAAATTCTCTTTCTCAATTTCCAATCATTGTCAATATAATGACAATGAAGTCCATGTATTACCTCTCCCAATATTTCACTTTTTGCAAGGAAGTCCATGTATCGATAGTTAAACAAACTCTCCCAATATTACCTCTAAGCTCAGCCTTAAGCTTACTCTTCTAATCCAAATACAACTTGTAGCATTCATTAGCAATGGTAAGCCTACCCTTACTAATAAACAAAGGCTGACATTTTCGCATGAAGTATAAAAATCCCTTTTTTTTTCCACAAATTTAAAAGACAGTTCATCTACAATAATCATATATGCAAGTGCCCTATAAACTTGGTCATCGTCATACTTCCATGCCTCAACATGCACATTATCCCATCAATCCCACCCTCAAGTACTAACACCCCTAATTGTTATAATAACTTATTAAAAAACAAGCCTAACTAGTAAGGATACCACGCGCCCTTCGTAATTTTAAGAAATTTACTACGTAAAATATACCAAGTTTTGCTTTTGTTTAAATCTTTTCCTACTGAATTTATATCTTTCAAATTCACAATTCGAAACTTAATTCCAATTTCGTCCTTTGCCGAGATCATGTAGCTTATGACATTAATTCGTTTATTATACATCAGAGTGACACAGACAATATAGTTCTTTAGACGAGATTATGTAAAGAACAATTATGTTTCCTAAAAAAAAATAATGTTACAAAAAAATTAAAATGTAACGAACGATATACTAGTATTTACCTTGTCTGCACTCGTTTGTTTTGACTTTTTGAGAAGAGTTTTGCTTCCATCTTTTTTTTTTTTTATTTTCTTTTTTTATACTACCTCTTTTTCAGAAAAAATAATATATCTTGAGTTTTGATATTTGTAATATTTTTACTTCAATTTCAAAATTCAATGACGACAACTTTTTAAGGGACAGGTGGAATATATGTATGATTTTTCTCTATTAATAACATTGATAATATGAAGAAAACTAGACGGAGAATACTTGGACGGGAATTTTCATGCATGGTACATATCAAACCCCAGATTTCAAAATCAATCC